GGGCAGAGCTCAACTCGACTGTGGTGTGATTCCACCACTCAGGCGGCCCCCTCAGTCGCCACACCTGGAACGGTGCCCAATGCATTTCTTCCCTTCGTTTAGCCTATTCTGAATGGCCTCCTCTAAAGCCTCTCTCAATTTCCCCCAAAGTATGAAACTCCTCAAAGCTGAAAAAGCCTCCTACAGAGGCTTCTACTCGCCCCAGGCCCCAGCCTGCCAGGTAGGTGATGTGGGGGGGAGGGATCCAAATGTTCCCATGCCTCTTAAGTTTCTTAAGCCTTTTTCTGCATTTGGAAAACTGAAGTTATAATGACTACAATGATTTGTTATACGGCGTAAGAAAAATGATTTCTGGAAAGACCCTACTACAAAATTTGGAACTTAGTAAGGAGTAGCTATAATAATTATGTCACGGCTACTATCCAACCTGAGAAAATTACAACTTCTAAGTGTAGGGAATGAGGAAATCTATGGGGAAGGTGTGAACCAACACAGAAAACAATCAGAAAGCAATTAAGTGCTAAACTGTAAAGTAATAGCAGGATGTCTGAGAAAGGAACTGTTTCTCTACTTGATAAATGTGTGTATCAGTAGGTATTATTCTTCTTTGCTGTAAACATTCACATTCCTTAAACGTGAAATTGGTCTTTTATTGAATAATTGAGTTATTTTTATTATACACCCAATTAAGCATATAGGTGTGTCATCCCTATTCTTAGCTCTTACATAAACTATTAAGTAAAACAATCTAAAAATCTAATAAAGACAAGAAAGGAGACCTCGATGGTAACTTGGCATCACGGAGCAATTGCACAATGTTGTAGATGCTACCCGGCTATTGACAATGTAGTAAATAATATTAACCAGGTGCAAGGGCTTGGGTTTTAATTCTAAGCAACTACCCCACGGGGGCTGTTACCCTTTCAGCTCCTGTCATTTCTCTCTGAGGAAGCACAGCATACGCTCTGCTCATCCAACTGCAGGCATCACCTCCCTCTCCCACGGCCACATCTACTCTCCTCCCATTAGCTATAAACAATGAAAGGAGCAGTCAGGGGGATAGGCAATAATCACTCATTTATAAAGTCATCTAAACATTACAGGATGTGTGATTTTTTTTAATTGCTGAAAATAATATCAAAACTTTAATTTGGGTTTAACAAACTCCAGGGAGGGGGAATGGTTCTTAAAACTTCAGTTAGAAACACAGTAATAGTAAGTTCTTGCCATAGTATTCAGAAATAGGTTGCGTTTGCACGGTTCTACATCCTCAGACTACACTGTAAAGAGAGCAGTGCTCTAACACATGCAGAAATTAAGGCTGGAGAAAAGTATCCAAGACACAGAGCTCTGTCTTGAATGCTCTAAATCCAGCATGTGGGCCCCACTGCCCCTTCATGACACAACCCAAAGAGCCTTGGTAAAAGATAACCAAAAAGCCATATGGATCCAGGTGAAACCAAGAAGGTGGGCACTAGAAACTGAAAGATGGCATTTTAAGAGAAAACAACAAACCATGATGACAAGACAGACCAGGAACCAACCTGTTAAATATATAGACCTTGGAAACAGGAAGAATGGCGACCCCATCCCTCAGAAATGGAACTGCAAGGAGAAACAGCACCTCCAAAGAGAAGACTTAACTGGAACATGGCTAACTTGCTCTAAGTGGGGAGACAGCCCCTTGCCTGAGCAAGCTACAACTGCTGAAAATGAACTCATAATCATGGCAAGTGTCCATGTGTAAGGATGGTTTCAAAGATGTCAAAGACGGCACAAGAGAGATGGAAGACAAAGCCTTCCAAGGAAGGACAGGGATTCTCAAAGAAAGGTGCTGACTGACGTCTCAACAGAGTAGCAAGGCAGCCACAGGAAGGGGAATTATGATGGCCAAGGTAAGGCAGACTTCTGAAGACAACACATGAGGAGTCTTCTATGGAACAAGCACTTGAGGGCCCACAGCGTACCACATGTGTCCCAGGTTCAGCCATGAACAACCCTGCCCTCATGGAGGTAACGATTCAGTTGGTTAGACACACAAGGAACACATAAAACATGTAAGGTTTATGCTTAGGTCATGGTAACTGCTCTAGAACTAGAAGACAAGTGAGGATGTGAAGGAATGATGGGAGGAGGATGGGTGTTGGAAACACTTTCATCGGGCAATCAACCAAAGACTAGCAAAAGGCAAAGAGGAGACAATAGAAAATTCTAGAAAAGTAACTGTTTATTGAGCAAGACCTACTGGGTACAAGGGTAAGGTTCCATGCTTACAGGAGAGAATGAAAGCATGCAGGCACTTTAAGAGGGCAAGAGAGAGAGACTGTCTTAGTGCAGACACCAAAAGAATCTAGCTGGCAGGGACAGGTGACGCAGAAGCCGCAGACAGACGGAACCACTGTCACCCAACCAAAGCCAAGCTCAAGATGAGGGTGCTGACCCTTGGCCTGCACTGTCGAGAAGCCACCGCTTAGCTGACCCACTTCTGAGGCAGAGTAGGTGAGTGACAACACGTCTGTGGCTGTCGAGTGGGCTGACGGAGGGCGCTGCCCTCTCCGGCCCCGTCATCAGCCTCTCCACAGGGCTGTGATCAGCTCGGAAGGATCACAGCTTCTTTAATCTAACTACTAAGTAATGGTGCTTCAATAAATGTTTAACAAGGCCAAGTTTAAATCACATGACTCAAAAAGGCGGGACTGAGTAGCTCAAGGTTTGATGGACTTGAGAAACAGAATGAGCCAGACTCATGCTGCCTGTTCAGGGTGACTGCAGTTGTCTGGCAGTTCGGTAAGTGGGGGGAGCCAGAGACTGCATCTAATACAGTGCAGAGCCCTGAGAAAAATTACTGCAATTCCCCGTCTCAATTTGTAAATGAGAATGTGGGGCAAATGAGAGGTTGCAGGCTTTTCCGTGGAGACTAGGTGCCTATCATTATCCCAAAGCCTACTGCCCAGGTAGAGGGGCAGGCCTCCCTTTTGGCTGTGCTCCCAAATTATAGGCAATAAAACATACAGCTGGGTATGGCCACCACACTAGGGACCTTTGAAGCTGTCCATCAAGAGTGGTGATACGGTGGTGGGGAGACAGGAATTTGGGGGAGCAGTGAGCAACAGTAATGAGTTATACGATCTCAAACACCAACAGTGGCCAGCCCAAGGAAAAGCTGAATGAAACAAACAGGCACATACAATCCCACTGTCACAGTGAAATAAGACAGAGAGAAATCCACTTTACGGGACCACGATCTGAGGCTGTGAGAGCAATACTTCCCAATAAGGAAGGCCATCCTTCAGTTTTGAAATGTTTGTTCACTCTATTTACAGAATGCCATCAGACTTGCGTTGTCGTTGCCCAATACCTGAGCCGTCCAAAACTCTCAGTCCCCTACGCCAAGCAAACTTCTGCGGCACTACAGGAAATCTCACAAACTGCGGAAGGCAATGAAGGGCCAATCCAAAGACAGCTTCCAATTCCACAATAAAACACAAAAGCTACAGCCAAGTTGATCGTTAAGAGCTTTTTACTAAGTCTTTTAATAACTGCATTTCAAATCCCTTGAAAAGCATTAAAGTCACTTTTCCTATGTTTCAAAAATTATACAACTTAAAGCACTGAGCTTACCACTTAAGTAGAACATAGTGAGGCTAAAAACTTGATCATGTGTTTGAAAATGCCTGCAAAATCAGACATGCCTGAGGGAACTGGATGGTTTTCCTACTGAATTAAACTGGGGGGGGGGGGGAGGTTGCCCTGTTCCTGGTGAGGGGAATTTTTGGGATTACACACAGGCAGTCATGGGAACCAAGGAAACTTAATTCAAGGGGAGCATCACTTGAGATGTTGAGAAAAACATAGTTCAGATTTTCTAAACTCTGTCCGCGCTGGAGATCGTTATCAGCCCGTGTTCCAACAAACAAGAACATCTGACCAGAACGTCTTTGAAAATGACAGGGCTTTAGCGTTACCAAAGGACAAACAAGGTATTTGCACTGCGAGGCTCCGGCCTTTAGGCTCTCTCCCCGCCCCCCAGCAGTCTTCCATTTCCTGAACCTTTGGATTGCCACAGGCTTACTTCCTACCTACACTTGGGTTTGGGATGCCTTCTCCTTTAACAGTTAAAGCTAAAGTCCTGAGGCAAATTCAAGGGTTAAAAGTTCAGCGTCTACCCCTGCCCCGACCCTCCTAAAAGCACAATCAGCATCTGTCACCGGACAAGTTTGGTCCGGCAAATGATTAATTTTTCGTAAACAACTCTGAATAGGTACGGCATCAGTGAGTGTTAGGAAAAACCCAAACAAGCTCCGCTGAGGCTCAGGGACAGAGAGGAGGCAGCAGGGCTGACTCGCAGCGGGAGCCACTGCCACATTCAAGGCAGTTCCAACCACGCAACAGGTCCATGCACGCAGTGCCCCAGCGGCGGGCACCTGGCCACCAGCACCAGCTCTCCTGCCCAGCACCCCAATGCCGCCAAGGGGCCAGGGGAGCCGACGAAGCGCCGTCTCTCCAGGGCACAGCCCATAAAGATAAGGCCAGGAGCACATTCCTTACAGATGCCAAGATACGGAGGCTTACTTGCGCGCTGCCAGGTCCCAAATGTCCTCTGGGACCTGTTTTAGCCCAAAGAGAGGCGCTCCGGGCCACTGGCCCGGGAACTGGCGGCCAGCCGACCGGCCCTGGGGCGTGATGGGGCGCATGGTCGCCCCCAGCTGGGAACAGTGTGAGCTACCTGGCTTCTACCTAACAGGCGTTAGTTCCCAAAGCTACTTTAATGGACCAGAACCTCTCTCCACTCGCCAAGTAACTACTTGTTAAATACCAAGTCTTTCGGTATAAATGAAAAAGAACTTTTATTGGCGGATGGGGTTCGGGAAGCAAGGAGGGATGGGGACGGCTGACGGCAGTCGTGGTTGGTTCCCCGCTGGCCAGGCTCTGCTGGAGCCAAGCAGTCAGCGGAGGAGCGCGCAGACCGGGCCGCCGCGCCAGGTGAGGCGGGCACTCACCTCGGGGAGCTCCCGGAGCTGGTTGGCGTCCAGCAGCAGCTCCTCCAGGCTGCGGGCATAGCGGTAAATCTCCTCGGGGACGTAGACCAGCGAGCAGTGGCGCTTGTCGATGGCCTCCACATGACGGTTGCACCGCCACAGGGGAATGCAGTGGAACATCGCCGCCCGCGCCGCTGCCGCCGCCGGAGCCGTGTCCCGAGCCGCGGAGCCCGGGGCTCGGAGCCCGCTCCGCCCGGCCGCCCCGCTGCTCCGCGCTCGTTGCTGGCCCCAGGCTCGCTCGCGCCTCGCAGGGGCTCCACGGTCCCGAACGCCCGGAGGAAGCCACGGGAACCCGTGCCGCGTCCCGCGCCTTCGCTACGGAGGACCGTCCCCTCCCACCTCCCCCTCCGCTGCGCTCCGCTTCCTACTCGCGGCTGCCGCACACTGGGCATGCGCACACAGCCGCACGCGGAGGGCGTGTCCCGGCCGGGGATGCTCCGCTCCGGGTTTTCCTGGAGACCCGGTTCCCGGGAGGGTCGGGGAGAACCGGGGCTCCTGCGGTCCCTTCCTAGCGGCAATTTGAACAGCGTGGGGCTCTGGAGGGAACCGCGCTCTAAAAAGGACCAGAGGAGGACAGGGACCGAAGGCCAGAGAGAGATCCAACAACTTCCGAGTTTTAGTTTTACTCACTGTACCTCTTCGTTTTGCTCCCCTTCCCCAAAACAACTTTCCCTTCCGGGGTCAGGAAGTACCGCCCCGCAGCGTACCTTGAGCCTGGGGTAGCGCTGGAGCCGAATCTGGCTTTCCGACACCCCCCACCCCCTTGTGTCCTGCGTCTGCTCACACGTCGGCGGACTCCACGCCCTGAAAGCATCTTCAGTTACCCAGGTTTATCTGAGATGTAAGCATCATCCCCTTCTTGGTGCTACCAAAAGCGTGGGTGTCAGAATCTTCAATATCTTCTAAAAGATGCTCCAGGAAGAAAGGAGCTGGCTAAGATGCAATTCTGGGCAAGTTCTACTTCGACCAAATGTGCCTTGGGGCCTAACCTGGGCTGAAGAAGTACAGAAGGGACTGGTCCAGGAGGCCAAATGAGCCTCCTGCACCTGCCTCCTGTGTTTCCTCCACGGCCCCCTACTCCATACAGAGGGGGAGACTGCAACCCAAGTAATAGCTTTCGGAATGAGGAGCGTGACTCTTCCTTTGCCCCTAACACCTCTTCATTAGCATAGCCAGATTCTTGAACCATCCATTCCCTCCTGTTGATCACCAGTCACGATCTCAGAATAGACCAGACATTCCTTCACCAACGGTTGTTGATCCGGTCTAGACCAAACACGGTAACAATGGACTGTTTTAAGAATCTCCTCCGATTCCCCACCCAGCAACGGAAGCCCTATGCTCCCACAGCTCAAATCTGGAAAAGACTGGAAGGTGAGCAAGCGTAGTGACCAAGGCAGAATTTGCCCTAACCCCTTTTTAATTGTCTCTTCAGTCCTTCTACCTACACAGGGCACTTTGCCCAAGTGGAGAGAGGAAGGGACGCATAACCATCTCATCTCTATCAGGAGGGCCTCTTAATTGAAGAGGGAAAAAAATCCACTTTTGTTTCTACCTCAGGATTACCAGCAAGGCCTGCTGGTTACAGCCCGTGCCTAATTCCTGCCGCTCTCCGTTTGTGCTGACTTGATTCTGGCATTCTTGAGGAGGACTTTGAGCCTCCACTCCTCCTTCATTCTTGCATTCCAGAAGCATGCATGAAACCCATTTTTCTGCCACCTCCCGTGGAAAAATTTGGTTTCTGATTGAGACATCCAAGAAAATACCTCATCAACTTTGCGGGTTTTCCAACTGCTTTTTGAAAAATTATAGAAAGCTGACCTACTCGGTTTAATGTTGCTTTTTCAGAGATATTTGCACTAGATTATTTATGATATATGTATTTCTAAAATATGGCTGGACTTTTAAGAATCCCACCCTGAAAAAGCATTCCTGTGCTTCTCTGTGTTGCGATCTATGTATCTTCTTATTTCCAAAGACACTGCAGCCTTTCTAACAGCAGACACTCTCACCGGCTTTGCAGATTCTGAGAACTACCAGGGTCCACATGACTTAACTGCCAGATTTGTGTTCATTTACCTCTGTTCCAGTTAGTTTTCTGTTGCTGCTAGAAACACCTTGACTTAGTCACTTAGGGAGGAAACCGCTGGTTTGGCTCACATTTCCAGATCACAGTCCATCTTTGAGGGAAGCCAAAGCAGGACAGGAACCTGGAGACAGCAGCTGAAGCTGAAGCTGTGGAGGAATGCTGCTTGGTCAGCTGACTCTTTCAGACAACCCAGGACCACCTATCAGGGATGGCACCAACCACAGTAGGCTGAGCCTTCCCACCGGACTTGACCGCAGGCCAATCTGATGGAGACATTTTCTCAGTTGAGGTTCCTTCCTCCTAGATTACTCTACCTTGTGACAAGTTGACAACTAACCAGCCTAAGATTTGAGGGTTGATTTGGCTTACGTGTCAAGATCACCATCTTATCATTGGGGTAAGAGAGGACAGGAACTGAGCTCGGTAAAGGTCAGGTGGAGAAATGTTGCTTAGCGGCTTGGTTTCCACAGCTTACTGACTGTGCTTTCTTGTATAATTCAGGACCACCTGCCCACTGTGGATGAATAATTCAGGATAGTTTACTGCATAACAACAGATAATAATAAATGTACACATTATTCTCCAGACACATGCTAGATACCAGAATCACCGCAAAGAGCAAGATAGCCCTTACCACTGAGAGAATGAAAGCGGCTCGATTAACAGTTTGTTGTTTTAATTCTTAACTTTTTGTAGTATGGTGCAATCATTACATTTTTTTAACCATAAATTCCTACAGTGGCAGCTGGTAAGATAGAGATGACTGAGATTCGGAAATCCAGACGTGTTCATTTTAAAATGAGAGTGAAATACCACCATCTAGCCATTGGAGAAAAAAAACAACTGGTAATCCTGTGTTACCGAAGATACAGAGGAACAGGAACTCAGGCATTGCAGACAAGAAAGTAAAAGGTTGAAACCACTATACAAAATAATTTGAAGCTTCCCTGTATGTCTGCCCTAATGATCTAACCATTACATTTCATGGAACACACACAAAAACAGCTGGCATAAGTTATTTGTCAATACCATTGGCAGTTTTGTTAATATTAGCCAAAATATTAAAACAACTAAATATTAACCAACAGACTAAAATGGAAATGGAAAGGGACAGAAATGGCAAAGGGCTTTGATAAAATTTGGGAAGTGATGGAATTATTTATTTGCTTGGTAGTTACATGTGATCATTTATTAAACTCAAAACAATCTACTTAAAATAGTAACATTTAACTATACAAAATTTATATGTGGGTGTGTTTAATTTTTTAATTAACAAATAAGAGACCGGCAATATGGCTCAGTGTGTACGAGCACTTGCTCCATACACAAGCTTGAGGACCTGAATTTGGCTGCCCAGCACCTATACAAAAGCCAAGTGTGGCTGTATGCGCCTCTAATCACCTCGGCTTGCTTGGCTAGCCAGCCTAGCCAAAAAAAAAAAAAAAAAAAAAACCAAACAGCAAGCTCCAAGTTCAGTATCAGATCCTGTCTCAAGATAATAAAGGAAGAACAAGAGGACAGAGCAGCTGATACCCTCGCCTAGCCTCTTCATGCAGAAATGCCAGGATGCAGAGAGAGAATATCTTGGTAAATGTATCCTACAGGTAGTTATAAATTACAGCCCAGGCTAGGAAGCTCTTTGGAGTAAGTGGCTACCAAGTATCTGCCATATGTCAAGCACTGGGTTGCTTTTCTGAGAAACAAAGGGAGTGTCAGAGCTTGGAGTCTTCCTGAGAGAAAGGCTGTTGTCAAGGGAATAATAGCAAGATATAAACTGTGATGGGGTAGAGGGTCTGTTTCCCAGCTGCCCAGAACCGAAATAATCACACAGAAACTAGATTATTTGCTATACTGTTTGGCCAATAGCTTAAGCGTATTTCTAGCTAGCTCTTATATTTTAAACTAACCCATCTCCATTAATCTGTGCATCACCACAAGGTCGTGGCCTACTGGCTAAGTTTTGGCGGTTCCAGTGGAGGCATCTGTCTCCTGTGGCAGCTATGTGGCTTCTCCCTGACTCTAGATAGGTAGATAGATAGATGATAGATAGATAGATAGATAGATAGATAGATAGATAGATAGATAGATAGATAGATAATCTTCCAGCCTGGCTATATTCTGTTAAGCTATTGGCTGAAAGCAGCTTCTTTATTAACCAATAAAAACAATACATATACAGAAGGACTTCCCAAGGGTCTTCTATCGATCAAGAACCTGACTTTTTCATTTTATAAAGGAACACAGGAGTGACCCTTTGAGGTATACGTGTGTATATGTGTGTGTGTATGTGTGTGTATATGTGTGCTAATCAAATCATTGCAAAGCTGGACACTGACAAAACATCTCTGCATAAAAACCCCAGGGCCCTTTTAATAAATGCAACTCTGAGACCTTAATCATGCATCCCCAGATTTAAATTTAAGAATATTTTTGCAGAGATGTTTGGAATTCATGACAAAGATACATTAATTCAAACCATTCAGAAACCTGAGAACCTATAGAATTCCATAAATGAATAATTTAGAGCTCAACAGTCTTTATAATCAGAAGCAAGACCGCTACACTGGGTCTCTTATTGCCAATTAGTACTCTTCCCTTGACTTGTACAGAAATTATGTATGTGTGCGCATGTGAAAGCACGTGTGTGCGTGCACTAATGTACTCAGGTGCACACACTTACATGTGTCTGCACAGTTCAGGTTGTCAAGCTTGGTGCCTTTACCTTGGGCCATCACCCCGGCACCTTCCCTTGTTTTTCCACTAACAGAGTTATCACGTCCACACTCATGGTAGTCCTGATGGTTGGATTTGTGTTTTCTGTTTTATTTTTGGTTTTCTGTTGATGCCGTCTGACTCTCATCCTTCCCTTGTAGAACGCTTTCCTACGAATAGAAACATTCCCTTCAAGAGGACAGGGAAGCTGTAAACAAACATGCCTGTCTGGGAAGAGGAACCATTCTTGTAACCCTCTCAACAAATTTATAAACAGAGCAGACAACTGCGGGGAGGGAGACTACCAGCCAGGCTGCCCAGAGGAGCTTTCCCAGAACTCTCCATCTGCTTGCAAGATGTACAGCTCCAGGGTTGCAGCTTTCCTGAGCTACCGTGGGTACTGGGAGGGCTTTGGGAGGAAGCAGCTGCTTTTAAGCCATCCCTGCTCCTAGAAGTTACCTTCTAGCCATACTC